TATATGAAAAGTAAAAAAAAACACCCTTTATGAATAGCTATCATGTTGCAAGCTCTGCTTTGTATGCAAATCAACTTAAATAGTTGGTGTCCAGTGGAGGGAGAAGTCAACAGTACTGTTGCCTCCTGAGAATCTACATCTTCAAACACTGCAATCTTTGAAGTGCGTTTTTAAACTAGTATTATAAAAACTCTATCATTCTGTTCTAATAGCTGAAACATATTCCTGTGAGTCCTGAGATACATTACCAAGGATATTATTACAAGATAAATCATTTGCTTCATTGAACACATACAACAATGCATATTTCCACTGAGATCAGTGACCTTTGATGTGTATCACCAGTGATCAGTCAAGTAGAAACAGTCAAAATATTTTATCAGATTTTCTCAATTTTTGCATATTTTCATACATGACATCTGTTGTTCAAACTCAGGGAAGACTTTATACTGATGAATAAGGTGACCAAGTTTGATAAAGTTTGGAATAGAATTAGTAAAGTTATTATGCACACAATAACAATTGTTAACGACGACGACGACTACGATGACGACAACGCCGGACAAAATTTTTCCCTTAATATACCTTTCCCTTCCATCTTTGATGGTACGGGCAAGGTAAAAATAATTACAGTGCAGTCGGAAATTAAGCGATAAGCGATCGATTAAAAGTGGGAAGATGGGCGAAATGAGTACTGTAATTCAAGTGATATTAGCGTATTTCTAATTTAGTTTTTCACTCGTACAGTATTTATTTACTTACTATAGCTAGAGTGCTGTACGTGTCTTCATTTTCAGGTTAGTTCTTCTGCCGATTTCTCGCAACCAACAACGTGATTTTTTATTTGGGATTTCGAGAAACTTAACATGAATCGTTATGGCATTCATATGCACAACACCTTGCCATGTTTCAACTTTTAAGTAGCCAGTTACAAGGTCTTTCATAGTAGCATTTCTATGGGATTGATGTACTAGCATGAATCATGATGAATGGGTTCAATTATCAGTGTTCACTGATGACATCATTTGACTGGCCCTCTAGAGGCGAAATGACACCAGGAAAAGCGGGTGTTCGTCGTCTGCTTCACAGCCCGTTTTATACCCGATATTTAGGGCATTTCGCAGCATATACAAGTTGTTTTTATCGACAGAATTCATTCATAGATCTCAGATTTCATGTACAGAGTGTCAAAAGCCACACCTCTGCTCCCCTTTAACATGTAGCCAGTTACACCCTGTCCTTTCCCTGTCATCACGGTGGCCCCGTCTGTACCAAGGCCCATTATCTTGGTTGGTGGAAGCCAGACAATTCTTCATAAATGGCTTTGCCTGTTCCACTTTTAACTTCCAAATTGCATAGAAAATGTGTTGATGGTTTGAAGGAGTCCGGGTTTAAAATTCTACTATAGACAACCAGTTTTTTTTTCCTGTTCTAAGTCCTGTCACATGTGGACGTTCAAGTTGCTCAAGCAAGTTAAGTAGGCTATCATATTTGTTAATTGCAATGTCCTCTTTTGCTAGAAAAAACACTACGCGTATAGCAACCAACAGGCTATTTTCATTTTCAGTGTGAACATTTTTTACCGCCTTCTGAAAGTCGGAAATCATTGAATCTGACATCATTGCTGCTTTGTGATCGTTACATTCTGCATGCCGAGTAAGTGTGCTTGTTCGGAAATTAGCATTCGCTTTGGTCATAGTGTTCTGTTTATTATGCTTCATACATATTTTGCAGGTCATTGCATTCTTGGAAGCTTTATATTGTAGCCATTTAAAATCTCGTAGCCACTTATCTTGAAAATGACGGACATACCTTGAAGTTTCCCTTCCTGGGAAAGATGGTTCACCCCCGATGTCATCTTCACGCTCTTGTGATGTACTAGTAGAATCATGTACCGTAGTTTTTGAAGACTGTGATGTTTCCGGTGAAGATAAAGACATGTCTTCCACAGGAGTGGATTTTTCTGACTCATCTAACCCCATCTCGTCATTTGATTTGCTTTTCTTTTGAGCTGATGTTTCGAAAAAGCTCAATATTGTTCAACCATTTTGATTTGAACCATAGTGTGCAGACATCTTGCTTCAGTTACCGAATCAATAAAACAGCAGTGTTGATTGATTGAGAGCGTGGTCTTTGCCAATGAAAATCAATTTCACAGTTGAGGGGAGGCTGACTGCGCTGGACATCACTGTGACAGCAAGCATAAATTTTAGTACGCGAACTGAGCCAATCAAAATCAATTTCAGAGTTTGGGGCATGCACTAATTGAGTAGTCGCTATGTCAACCATGGCTGATAGCGTAGATTATTCTAGTCCTGATTTTAGCCAATGATAATTGAGTTCACTTCGGCGATTAGGTAGTATTTAGCAGACACAATATCAACACTGTATGATAGCATATAAATACATACATGCGGGGCCTAGGTAAAGGCTATTTCGTTTTGTTTTTTTTTACTCGTCATTAAAAAAAATGAGTCGTCAAATTAGCGTGATTTCTTGGAAAGTTATTATTCATTACAGATTTGTACTGGCAAAATGAGTGCGCCTAAAGCCCTTCCAGCCAAATAAAGTTGCGTCTGAATTTTGTGACGTCACCAATTCGTGTGTAGGTACGACTTCTAAAACCGTGTCCAAATCTAAGAAAGGTTTGTCCAAGGTATATATACAGGAAGTACCAAAGCAATAAGAATTGTAGTTTTCAAGAAGAAGTTGAAAATGTAAAAAGTTGAAACGAACGATGGAAGCCGGACAATCACTCATATGATAAGCTCCGCTTGACAAAGTTGACAGCGGAGCTAAAAAATTCATGGAATTGTTACAGAATGGATACCAGTTGCACAGTTCATAGGTAAAAGCTTTGAAGTCAGGAAGCAGAGTCTTACAGGGACATTTTAATGCCTGCTGTAATTTTAGTGATCTTATATTATTTAGTATTTTAGTGATTTTGTATTATGTTATCTAGCATATTGTTTTCTATTTTTTTCTTGTACCTTGTGACCATTTCCTAAATAGAATAAATAAAGTAATATGACGAGCTCTGGGTCGTCAACTTTGTCGACAGTGGAGCTAATAAAGCGCTTACTGATTGGATAATGTTGAACTATCTCATTAATATTAATCAGAACTATGATGAATTTTATGAATGAACTTTTCTGAATTTTTGGCACTGAAACCATCAACAGTACCCACGAGAAATGTAATATACATTGCAAATTTAATTTCATATTCACTAGTTCAAAATCATAGTTTAATGAAGCTATATCATTGACACATTATACCAACCCAGACTGGCCAAATTACGGGGGCCCCCCGATTCCTGAAGATGTCGAAAGGAACCCATGCCCATTATGAAACATAATTTACGGAGAGGTTGGAATGTTGACTAGATGAAATAATCTCTTTACCTCTTACGTTATTTCCAGGTATGATACACTTCATTTTGATACTCTGACTATATCGGAAACACACGAATAATGCGTTTTTATGAAGAGCTGGAAACGCTTTTTCAATGAGACCGCCATGTTATGTTCTTGGTGATACATTTTCTTATACTGGTCATGATTGGCGAAAGCTTTGCTGTGCCAGTAAGGTTTAACCAATAAAATACGATGTTGTAAATGGTGGTGATCTGTGGCTTGCGTTCTACTGCGCACATGAGTCTGCGCAGCAAGCAAAATGGTGGGTGTTTTCTTTTAATATTTTCCGTACAATGTAGTGATTTTTACTGTTCTTTGTCATTTTTATATAACCCATATCTATATAGGAGTTATTTTTAAATAAGACAGGAAGTGTGAATTCGCGAATAAAATCATCGTTTTGATGGTTTGTACTATAAAACGTGTTGAATTTACTGATGGAAACCCCGGAAGTGACATTAGCAAAACCATGGAGGTAGAAAACAGTGTTTTCACCAGAAAGTGGTGAACCTTTTCATGAATATCGCTGACAATTCCATCTTGGGTGTTGGGTACATTTCTATACGCGTGGAATCAAATACCTAGATCATTTTTACTTCGATAATAACACGTGTATTATTTGTAATAATAATATTCATACAAATACGAGCACTTAAGAGGTGTGTCATCTACAAGACAAGCTGCAGTTCTGTAGCTCTTGGTTTTGCTCTAGTCTATTTTTTGTAATGAAGAGTTGGGTTATTCATAACCTGGATAGAGAAACCTAGCTAAACACAAGCTCATACGAATTACCATACCAGGGAGAACAGAGACTTCATTGAGAAAAAAATCATTTTGCCCAAAAAGGTTTTTACAGTGATGGTCACATATCCTGATAAGGACATGCCAACAAATTTTGATTATCTCCTGAAAAACTGTTGAAAGTTATGTATTATGCCATCACTTTCAAGATGGTTTTTCAACTTGTTTTTGTAAGATAATTTTTGGAGCATTCTTTCCAAGACATGTGACAAATTATGTTTTGAACCCATCAACAATAAAAAAACAGTGAAACCAATAGCTGCAGAGCTACAGTTACTCTATAATCTAATTAAAAACCTTTCATGCCAACACTAACAACTGACTGTTAAGTACATATCTTACAATGAGGCAACACTCATAAAATTTCACCATCTCCAATTTTGTTTTTCATTGCTGGTGGTCTTTGTTTCATTTAAAAGCTAAGGCTCTCAGACATTTTGAACATTTTCATGTACACAATTTATGTAAGGAAATACTAGAAAATTATACTCTGTGTTAAATTTTCTGTAGCAATCAATATGATATGCTGTTTGTGTATATATACATAGTTTTACTTTAGATCTCATCAATATTCAAATTGTGAATATTTTATTCATTTCCATAAAACCTGATGTGTTGCATGTTGGTTAGTAAGTGCACCCACTATTAGGAAGATTGCTGATTCAACACATGTGGGTGGTTGTCTATTCAGCAATTAAAAAGGGGGTAGATGCTCATGGCATTCAGAGCTAGGAATATAGCATGAAGTCCGAGAGGACATAAAACTGCCCCTCTCATGACCTCTTTCTGTATTCTGTGCATTTAAAAAGTCATAGCTTTCTTATATATTCATGCCTTCATAAAATTCAGTGGAAATTGGTTAATCCTAGTGTTAACTAGCATCACTCTTCATTTACAATATCAATTTTACAGTTGGTTCTAGTACTTGGAGATCTTCATATTCCATACAGATGTAACAACTTACCACAAAAGTTTAAAAAGTTATTGGTACCAGGAAAAATTCAACACATTTTATGCACAGGAAATCTGTGTACGAAAGAGTCAATAGACTACCTCAAAACACTTGCTAGTGATGTTCATGTGGTGAGAGGAGACTTTGATGAAGTAAGTATATTGGTACATGCATTGTTCTTAAATGTGATTGGTGGCCATTTGCAAAATTGCTGTTCTGGATCTTAACTGTGACTTACTTTAACCAATTACATAGAAACTTCTATCTTCATTGTACACCATGGTTGCATGTATGCTTTCATTTCTCAATCCCAGGTGAAAGTGCATCAACATTTTTTTAGTAGTTACTTAAAATGCCAGGTAGGTATTAAAAGTAGGTTTTTCAGATCCTTATTTGAGCATGCATGAATGGATTTTGTATGGATTTGGTACAGATTTGGTGTATAGTATAATATTATAGTATATTTTATTTGACTCAAATTAATGAATTGGAAATACATGAACCATGGTCAATAATCATACACAAAAAAACCACAATAACAAGAAATACAGATATAAAAATAAAATAAAATGTTAAAACAGATAACACTAACAACTATTAGGTATTACATTGTAAAATTATGTTAATAAACTTTCCTAGACTATTGGCAATGAAATTTCCTTTTATTCCCATAATATGCACAAACATATCCTTTGGTAATTTTAAAATATTATCATTGTATAATGATAGAGTATTCCAAAAGTAGCTACGTGCCTTTACAATTTCATCCAGTTTGCAGTCAAAAAGAGCATGCATTTCATCACCAACAGACTGATCAGAACACAGTGTGCAAAATCTTTGCTCTGAGGGTATTTTTTGGCATCTTAATTTTTCAATTGGTAATTTATGTGCTGAAATTCTAAATTTGGTTACACTTACTCTGTGATTTAAATTATTAATTTTATTCAGATATGGTTCAAATTCATAATCTGATTTTTATTTATTGTAAATACGTAGTTTATTATGTTCCTTTTTGGATAGAGTTGGCAACCAAATTTTTTCAGATTGTTTCTAAAAATGTTAGCATTATGATCTGTGTCATTTTAATAATCGAGTTATTTCAAGTAGTTTGCTAACAAGGTTTGCCCATGAATTACTATTGATTGTACACTCTGACTGATAAGCACAGTGCACTATATTACTGCATTCTTTATTTTTTACTCTTAACCAAAACATGTACATTTGGGTACAAATTTCAGTAATTAGGGGATTATTTTTCCTGTCACTCCTGCATTAGCCAATTTAAAAAGAAGTCCTTCTCTCCAAACACTATCGAAGGCTTTGCGTAAATCCACAAAGCAAGCATATAGATAATGTTTGCCCACTTTATTTGTATATTTGTTAATTAATGATTTCAGAATATAGACATTGTCTGTAGTTTGATGATTTTTTCTAAAACCGAATTGAGTATCTTGAAAGATACATATGTAATGAAAACAATAATCATTGTGAACTTGAGGTATCTGATGTTGAATGGAACTGTGATTTAAGAACATTGTGGTAACAATAACCATGGATCAAAGAAAGCTTAGAAAGAA